GCGTACCACTCACGGGCGGCCTGGAGGGTCGGGGCGTGCTGCTGACTCTGGCCACCTCCAGCGTCTCCACGGCCACCACCACCACCGCCACCGCCACCGCCTCGGCCACCTCCACCCCTGCCACGGCCACGACCGCCACCGCCGCCGCTGCCACCTCCGCCTCTGCCACCACCCCCGCCGCCGCTGTCACCACCCCCACTGCCGCCACTAGCCTCTCCAGACCCACCGCCACCTCCACTGTCTCCACCCCCGCCTCCCCCGCCTCCACCCCCACCCTTGCCCCCCCTGCTCTTGCGGCGCCCGCTCGAAGCAGACGCAGCCCCGACCTTCTCAGCACCAAGGAGGTCAACAGCAGCAGCAGTGGCGACAGAGGGGAGAAGGGGGGAAGGGGAACACCCCTCGAAGAAGGGGGTGCGGGGCTCGCCACGAGAGGCACCTACGGCGACGATGCTCGCCTCAGCTGCAAGTAGGTCCTTCTCGAGGAGGGCAATGGTGAGCTCAGTAGGGGAGCGAGCTAGAAAGGAGTCCCTGACTGTGCGCAGAGAGTCAGGGAGGCGGGTGACAATGTGGTAGAGGGTGAGCCAGAGCGGGGGGGGGTTGCTAGCAAGGAACTCGGCAGGCATAGCAGCGCGAAAACGGGCCTCACTAGTCTTGAGGTGGGTGATGAGATCAGCGACAGTGTGAAAGGAGGCCAGGTCGGGGAACAGGTAGGGCAGGGAGAGGCGGCCTAGGGTGGCAGACGCAGGCGAGGAGTAGCGAGCAACTACGGCTGTGTACAGTTCCTTAGCAGTCTTGCACTGGCCGAAGTGCTCGCGCTCATCTAGCGGCAGGGAGTTGCGGATAGCAAAGCGAGCGTGTGCGTCGCGGGTCTGCCACTGGGAGCGCAGTGTGCTAGCAGCAGAGGAGTCAGGGGCAGTAGCATGGCCTAGGGCGTGGTCGTACAGTGAAATGTCTTCCTTGGCAGTGAGCTGTAGGAAAAGGTGCAGATCATCGAGCCAGGTGTCAAATTTCACTGGGCGGCCCTCAGCGTCGAAGGCTAGAACAGGAGCAGTAGCCATGGTAGCAGGAGGAGGAAAAGTAAGTAATAAACGTGGCAGTGACAGTAGCAGCAGGGCAAGGCAGGGCCGGGGCAGTCGCGACAGCGGCGGCAGTTGCTGCAGGTTCGGCTACAGTAGGGACTGCAGGGCCGGCGGCGGCCGATGGAGTAGACTCGGCGGTTGCGGCTGCTGCAGGATCGGCGGCGGCTGCTGCTGCTGGGTCGGCGGCGGCTGCTGCTGCAGAGGCAGCGGCGGCTGATGCTGCTGTAGCTGCGGCGGCCGCTGCTGTAGATTGCGGCGGCTGCTGCTGCCGTAGATGCGGCGGCGGCCGCTGCTGTAGATGATGCGGCAGCTGCTGCTGCTGTAGATGCAGCGGCGGCTGCTGCAGAAGATGCGGCGGCTGCTGCTGCTGTAGATGCAGCGGCGGCTGCTGCAGAAGATGCGGCGGCTGCTGCTGCTGTAGATGCAGCGGCGGCTGCTGCAGAAGATGCGGCGGCTGCTGCTGCTGTAGCTGCAGCGGCGGCTGCTGCAGTAGATGCGGCGGCTGCAGCTGCTGTAGATGCAGCGGCGGCCGCGGCAGGAGAGGCGGCGGCGGCTGCTGCAGCAGTTGCGACGGCCGCGACTGCAGTCTCTGCCGCGGCTGTTGCTGCAGGCCCGACCGCGGCGACGAAGGCGCGGGGGGTCGAGCGCAGCACACAAGGCGCGCGGGCAGCGCGACGGGCCGCGCGCGAAGAAAAAGAACCGCGCGTGCTGGCGGCTAGCTAACCGCGCGCGAAAAATGGCCGCGCGCGGGCTGCTGGCTGGTCGCGCGCACGAAATAGGCCGCGCGCGGGCGGCTAGCAGATCGCGCGCGGTAAAAAAAAGATGGCGCACTAGGGGCGCAATAGGAGGCGCACTAGGGGCGCAATAGGAGGCGCACTAGGGGCGCAATAGGAGGCGCACTAGGGGCGCTTGATAGGTATGTAGGTAGGTAGGTAGGTGGGCCCTTAAGAACGGTCCTAGGGAAGGACCTGCTCTGATACCATGTCAAGATTACGAGACTGGAATGGCTGTGACTAAGAGAAACAGGAGTACAAATGTGAAACCCTAACTAGGTGTACCCCCTAAGGTGTAACCCACTACAGCCTACACAATATAAACATACAATGTTTGACACATGGGGTACAACCCAATTAGGGTTTACTACTTGTACTCCTGCATCCTGCTAGTTCATCCATTCCTGCTGCTAGATTCTAACAAGGAGTGCACAGTAATATCAAGTATTACTATTCGTAACACGCCTTAGAAGCCTCACGTGAGGCCACCATGAGGGTTCGGCCTCTCACGCTCAGTTACGACTGACATGTATCGCTTATACGCTTGCTCTTTCGGTGTATTTGGATATATTCATAATGAAAAAAAAAATATTCCCCCAATTTATAGTGATGGAAAGGGGACTTTGTGCTTTGAAGTTTTACTGTACTGGAGTTATCTTCGTGGCTGCACACGCAACAGTGAGAAATAGTGACTACTTGTGCTGACCAGTCAACAGAATTTACGCTGGAATAGTGCACGCTCGATTCGTGCTGGCGATTTTGCCACACTCTTCACTTTGGGAAAATATGTCAATGGTAACTTACATGGGGAACTATAACGCGTACGGTAACGATTTCAACGCGTTTGGTAACTCGCTTAACACCTCTGGTAAGTCGCTTAACACGTTTGGTAACTCGCTTAACGCATTTGGTAATGCTACACTAGCAGCCCATCACGCGAATGGTAACTACATGAAATTCCCGCCGACAATTTCATGACAAAAAGGAATTTATCGAGTTTGAGAGATTTTATGCACATTATTATCTTTTGTGAACAAGTTCCGCAGCGAATTTAAAGGACCCCGTTTGTTTTAGTACCACGGACCAAAAAGTTTCAGAGCCATTTTATATATATAGGTAACTCGTACAAAAATGGACAAGATCATATTTTTGATAGCATGATTGCGGACTTGCAAAAGGATAAAAATACATTTCCCGAAAAGGACATTGAAAATTTTACCCTTTTTTTTAATACTGCAACTTCGGAGAATTTTTGCACGTGGGAAAAGTAAACCTTTGTAAAAATTCATCTTTCATTTTTTAAATAAAGATCCATAAACGCCTGGTTGCAAGAAGTTTAGGGTTGTTGCTCTCAAATTTATGGTTGTTGCGCTCAAATTTATTTGCCATTGGAAAGAGATATAGATTTGTTTGCCCCGGCTGCACGATAGAATAAAGTACAAAACGTTTGCGGAAAAAGCGCCAAAACATCATTAATGTTTGAACAAATGTTTTCAGAACGCTTACGTTCTTGAAATTATCTTGAAAAAAGGAAAGTGTGTCAGGATTTCGGAAAGTTTGTCAGAATTTCGGAAATTGTGTCAGAATCTCGGAGAGTGTGTCAGAAGTTTCTACTTCACGATTCGTCAGTTTATTCTGACGCGAGCGGGAAAAACCAGAATCAGGCTCAATTTCGGCGGGAATTTCATGTAGTTACCATTCGCGTGATGGGCTGCTAGTGTAGAGTTACCAAATGCGTTACCAAACGTGTTAAGCGACTTACCAAACGCGTTAAGCGAGTTACCAAACGCGTTGAAATCGTTACCGTACGCGTTATAGTTCCCAATGTAAGTTACCATTGACATATTTTCCCCTTCACTTTCCAACTCAGCCATAGTGCCGTTTCGATATTTTATTTTCCCTGCCCTTCCGATATTTTAGTGCACCCCCCCCGATATCCAAATCACCGGAATTGGCTTCTTTCATTTCTGGTGGGCGTCCAGAGACGTCGGTATCAAGTGTAACAGCGAACACTTACAAGGACGGCAAGTTCGTTCATCCTTCCTTCGCACGTTTATCGCCAACGAGGCACTTTGCCTTCGGTGCCTTTCGTCGTTCGTTACGTTCAACGTCTCGCTGGGTCCGCTGGGGACGGGTCAAGCGCTTGGATGATTGGATCAAGCAATGCTGACGAGGCTCTGCTTTGTTCTGCTGCCGAGATTCCTTGTGTGGCTGCCAGCTAAGTCGTGCACTCCACTTGCTTGCGCTGTCTGCTTCGTCCTTCAACCCGATTTGATTCATCTCGCCTCGCCACCACCACCGCGTCGCGACGCGTCCAATTGAGCCTGTCTTCGTGCTGACCACCAACCACCATTGAGATTCCAGTGCATCGCATGTGAAGTGATGTGAGCTAATATCCAATTTCTGAAAATCCGTCCACCGACACGTGTAGATTTTTCCGTACCTTGATTCCAAAAGCTCGTCTCGCTTTCTTTTTCATAGCCTAGCTTGTTTCGGCACCATCTGCGCAGTTTTCGAGTCGGCTTTCCATCAGGACTCGGACTCTGCTGGTGTCGGAACTTCTAAATAAAGACAGCACAGCAGCTGCCAACAGCGTCGCAAAGTGCTCGCGTCACAACTTTTCAAGTGCCTCCGAAGTTTCTGACAAACGCCAGCTAGCCCTCCCTCCCAACGGTCTCTTTGCCACATGAACGAGCCCACGAGCACATAGCCCGGCATGCTAACTACCAGAAAACCTTCACCTAGCCGTACCAGCAGCACGAGTACCGTCGAGTTCCTCAACACTTCTTGCGGTAGCACTAGCAGCACATGCAGATCGGAAGCTTCGAACAGCAATGTTACCACTACCACAAGCAGTAGCAGCGCGAATAATGCCGCAGCGCGGCGCAGCAGCAGCAGCAGCAGCAGCAGCAGCAGCGGTACGCCATTGCTCGCGCGGCGTGGTCGGGTAACACCGTTGCCCAGAGTGGAGCTACCCCTCCGCGTTGCGATCCCTTCGACATTGCAAGGAGACAAACGTCGCCCGCCAGCAAAACTCTCAAGTGTGGAGCCAATACGAGCCAAGTCATTGCCAGAACGCTCTCGAGTCCAACCTCATCTATTATCCGGCAGTCCGGAGTCCGGCGGACCGCGCCTCCGCGTTGCCGCCATGACACCGTCGGATTTTCATGAGGACGCACCACCGGATTGTGAAAACGCGCCGCGATTTGGGAATGACGTCGCGCGGAGCATCAGCGCTGCGGCCTCTGCGGGAAACCGCCGTCGCCCGTTCGAACTGGAAATACTCGCGGCGGAAGGCGCCGCAGCGGAAAGCGAGGAGCTCGCGCCCAGCCCCCGCCGCAGTAGCAGCGACGCGGCGCGAAGAGGCGCTCAGTACTGCTCTGATCAACGCTCCATCTGCGCCGCTGCATCCGCCGCAGCCGCCGCAGCCGTCGCATCCGCTGCCAGTGATAATGGTGGCTTCAACAAGGAGCGTCGCCGGCACCTATTCGTCAAATCGGCGACAATCGCGGGGCCTGACTCGGATGGCAGCAGGTACAGGGCTAGTAGGAGTTTGGGAGGCTCGCCGCGGCATAAGCCGCCGCACCATCTGCCGCATCAGCCGCCGTCAAGAACGCAGAACCCGCCGGTTGCGGTTTCGGCACAGCCGCGACACAGCGGCGTCTCCTCGACGGCGATGGCGGCAGCGACGGCAGCGGCGACGGCAGCCGCGGCGCAGGTATACGCGAGGCGCGTGGAACGAGGCATAACAACCATGGGGAGTCGCTCCTTCAGCGGTACTACTACAACAAGTCGCCAATCTGTCCAGCTGGCACTTCAGAAATTTCAACAACCAACAGCGCTCTCGGTCGAGTCGCCACAATCGGTTTCCCCATCCTTGGAGACTTCTCCGCCCTCCGTTTCCGCTTGCGCGGAACGGGTCCCGCGGCCTCCAGATCACCGCCGAGACACATTAGCATGAGCCGACCTATCCCCTGGAAATATTGCGGCTGCGGCTGTGGCTGCTGCTGCTGCGGCGGCGGCGGCGGCGGCGGCGGCGGAGTCCGACTAGGTGCGCAGCGGCGGCCGGCGGCCCGCAGACGATCACGCGGCGCCGAACAAGTCCACGGAGTACAGCGCGCCCGGTGTCGCCCAGCGGCGGCGGTGCGGATGCAGGGGCGGGCGGCGCGTTCTCCCTGGGGGAGGCCGCCGTGACAGGCTCGAGGATCATTCGGCGGGCGAAAACGCTTCCGCTCAGAGGGGAAGACGGGGCTGGAAGTCTGTTTTGCGTGGAAGTCCCGTCCCCGCCCGCGTATCCCAAGCCCGCGCATCCTTCCCCGCGCACGCAGCGCGGCCAGCAGTGGCTGGCGAACTTCCGCGGCCTGCCGTACTCGCCCCCAGCAGCAGCAGCCGCAGCAGCGTCGCGGAAAACTGCCACTGTGAGCGACAGTGGGGCAGAAGACAGAAGGGAAGCAGAAGCCGTTGCTGTGGGGGTCCCACTAGCCGCTGGGGAAGACTGTTGCGGGGCTGATCAAAGCAGGCGCCATCATGTTGGTCGAAGCTGCGAGTTCAAACGCCGCCTGTCGCCCCTGTCCCCTTTCTCACCTTCCGCCCCATTCTCGCCCTCCGCCCATTTCTCCCCCTCCGCCTACTTCTCCCCATCCGCCCACTTCTCGCCCTCTGCCCATTTCTCCCCCCCCGCCCACTTCTCCCCCTCCGCCCACTTCTCCTCCTCCGCCCACGTCTCCCCCTCCGCCCACTTCCCCCCCTCCGCCCATCTCTCGACCTCCCACCCTTCCTCGCTGCTACCGTTCTTTCCGCCGAGTTCCTCGCCGTCGCCGTCGCGACCGCTGCCTGCCGCCACCGCGCTCCGAAACCACGGCTCTCCGCAGCCCGCTTGCGCTGCTGCGCACGCTTCTAACTGCCTGCGATCCAATCTCTGCCGTGAGGCCCACGCGCTGCAGCAGCGACTTGGCGAAAAACAGCCGCAGCCGCAGACGCGGCGGATCAAGACGGACGGAGAAGAGAAACAGCAGCAGCAGACGCGGCGGATCAAGACAGATGGAGAAGAGAAACAGCAGCCGCAGACGCGTCGGATCAAGACAGATGGAGAAGAGGAACAGAAGCAGCAGACGCGGCGGATCAAGACGGACGGAGAAGAGGAGTTGCAGCTGGAGCGGCGGCAGGCGTATCAGCAGCTTGCAATGACCGTGCCGCGCGCGGGCGGCGCGGGGCCGCCATCTAACGGCCACGATCACCACGGGCTAAATCCGCGGCGCCATCAGCAGTTCTATTCTCGGCCTGCGGCCGCTGCAGCAGGCGCGCCGCGGTGTCGCCCTCATGAAGCGCACTCCGCTGGGCGCGCTCCCCGTAACAGCGAATCTGCCTCGAGCATAAATCCGTTGGGTGCTGACGCGGCGGGGGTTCAACACCGCGCGGTCTCGCCGCGGTACTACACGTCTATCCGTCCTCTCAGCCTGACGGGCGACTCTCTCGGGCGCGCCGCGCGCGACGAAGTCGGAACCCCCGTTTCCCCCGTGTCGCTGGTCGCGCAGCGCCTGGAGGTGTGGTTTGAGGAGGCCACGTCAGCAGGGACTTGGCCGCATACCCGCCACAGCTCTTCCCGCGCATCAGTTGCGTCAGCAAGGTCATGATTCACGAATCGGACACTAAACCCTTACCCGCTGCTCCATGTGCTGCCGCTGGTGCGTTTCGGGCCAACGTAAAAGCCCTAGGGTTTGGTGTCGTGTGGTGGTGGGGTTTGGGTGCTGCTGGTGGTACACATGATGCCCGACCAGTGCACGCGAATTTGCCATGCACCGGATGGACACGCTGCCCCCGAGCAGGAAACCCCCGCTTGCTGCTCCCACAGTACAGGCACATGGGTGGCAAGAAACAGTGCGCGCGACTCGGCCAGGTGGGGCACGTGCAGCCACAAACAGCCAACGCCGACCCTGATGTGCATCGTTTCCAGGCCTGGAGTCTGCACCGCGAAACTGAGTGGACGAAACGAACGAGGCCTCGTGAACGCATTCGCCAATCGACCCCGCCACCTAGGCGAGGATCATCGTGCGTGAAACAGACAACGTGGGCAAATTCACGGTCCCACGTGTAATCTGCCTGTGCGGAATACAAGCGCATTTGTAGCCAGGCGTTGTTCTCATACACCACGTCAGACAATTGAACGTAAGGTAACCAACCGAGAACGTCAAATGTGCAAGCCAGGTGCATGGAACGAACTCCAACCACACAAACAGGTCCAAGCCCCAAAGAACAGACCCCAACCTACTCCATGTGTATCCCACATGCTCGTGACACGGTGGGGGGGGAGTGTGCTGCGGAGCGTATCAGTGGCAGGACGGAAGGGCGAATCGGGAAGCTCACCCGATTTGCTTGCCCCATGTGCGGGCGACCTTCATTGCGCCCTGTCGTCGCCAATCTATCAATGCCGATTTACTAACGCGGATCTGCTAACGCTGAACGACTGATGCGGAGCTGCAAGTGTAGATCTACTGACTGTGATATGCTATATATGGACATGAATCTGCGTGTCATGTCAGAGTTATATTACTGTAACTGCATGTAGATATAGCAGTAGTGTAGTTATCACATTCTGTTTGGTGGATTACCCCCTTTCCTATCATATTTGTACCCTTGACTCTATAGTGAAGTCCTCTTTCATTGCCAACTCCCTCGACACTCTACCTCCTAGCATGGCTCCTAAGACTAAACCCTAGCAACCTATCTTGACATGGTTTCAGAGCTGGTTCTTTCCTAGAACCTTCATTTTTTTTTCAGAAACATGGGCCCGCCCTTAATGCAGCGCGAAATGCGCTATTTTCTTCGTCCCGTCGCGCCCTGCGCCCGTCTGATTCGTCGCCCCGCGGCCTGTTAAGAAGGTAGGGACTAGGAACTTAGAGAGCTAGGAACTTAGGGTTTGGATGGAGAGAAGTTTGGCCAAAGGAAGGGGTTGGACTAGTGAGAGAGATACATGATATAGGGTTAGGGAAGGTGGTCAGGAGGGGTATACCACCAACAAGAGAATACATACTACACTAGCTATACTAATATGCAGTTATATAAAGAAATACAATTTCTAACATCCCCCCTTAACTGCATACAAGCATAGCCAATGAGAGGCGCTCTACCCTAAGTGCAGTCGTCACCGTGCCGCAGCTGGGCCCACCGATACAACACACGATGGAATGCCCGCCTGCGGTTTAACCCCCGCAGTGGATGCCCGGTGTGCGCGACTCTGGGTGACCACGCCCAGAAACGACGGAGAAAAGGAACGAACCACGAGAAAACATTACGAAAGTAAAAAACAGGAAAGAAGACACCCTTTCTCTCTCTCTCTCTCATTCTTCCCCCCTTTTAACCTCTCTCATCCCCCCTTAACCTCTCTCATCCCCCCTTAACCTCTCTCATCCCCCCTTACCCTCTCTCCCCCCCCCCCCCCTACAGCAACAAGTGCTGCAGGGAGAGAGGAAGAGGGAAGGGAGGGAGGAGGTGCTGGCTCCTCACAACCTCACACCCGCCACCCCCACATCTCCCCCTCCTCCCCCCCCCCCCACGACGGAAGCAGTGGAAGGGAGGGCGGGCGGGAGGGGGCAGGGCGGCGGTAGCTGCTGCTGGCGCTGGCGGTAGCTGCTGCTGGCGCTGGCGCGGGCGGCTGGCGCTGGCGGTAGCTGCTGCTGGCGCTGGCGCGGGCGGCTGGCCGCGGTGGGGCGGCTGGCTGCTGCTGGCGCTGGCGGTAGCTGCTGCTGGCGCTGGCGGTGGCGGCTGGCCGCGGTGGTGGCGTCCGCGCTGACGGGCCACGCTGGCGGCGGCGCCTGCGGTCCGGGCTGGCGCGGGCGCTGGCGACGGAACGGGGGGCCGCGGGGCGTCGAAACGGGGGGCCGCGGGGGACGGGAATCGGGGCAGCGACGGGCACGACGGGCAACGCAGCGACGGGCGTGACGGGCAAGGCAGCGACGGGTGACGGGCGACGGGCGCAACGGGCGCGACGAGAAAAAATAGCGCATTTCGCGCTGTTGTACGGGCGGGCCCATAATTCTTAAAAAAAAAGGAAGGTTCCGGGAAAGAACCTGCTCTGTACCATGTTAAGAAGGTAGGGACTAGGAACTTAGAGAGCTAGGAACTTAGGGTTTGGATGGAGAGAAGTTTGGCCAAAGGAAGGGGTTGGACTAGTGAGAGAGATACATGATATAGGGTTAGGGAAGGTGGTCAGGAGGGGTATACCACCAACAAGAGAATACATACTACACTAGCTATACTAATATGCAGTTATATAAAGAAATACAATTTCTAACACGGCCCCCCATTTCGTCGCCCCGCGGCCCCTGATTCGTCGCCCCGCGGCCCCCCATTTCGTCGCCCCGCGGCCCCCGATTCGTCGCCCCGCGGCCCCCCGTTTCGTCGCCCCGCGGCCCCCCCCCGTTTCGTCGCCCCGCGGCCACCCGTTTCGACGCGCCGGGGCCCCCCGTTTCGTCGCCGCGGACGCCAGCGCCGGCGGGCGCCAGCACCAGCACAAGCACCAACGACGAGCGCCAGTGCCAGGGCCGGCTCCTGTCAAAACATATGCATGTTAGTATCTAGGCTATATTGGGGCTAGCCTTAAGGGGTACAGAAACTCACTCGACACTCTAGTCTTGTACCCCAACCTCCACCTAATCACACATACTCTTCTCATTCTAACATGGCATCAGAAGCCTAGGTTAGGAACCTAGGACCACCTTGTACTAAGGGCCCGCCCTTCCGCTAGCGCCCTCGAGCGCCTTCTTCCTTTCGTGCGCCCTCGCGCGCCTCGTTTCCTGGTCGCGTAGCCCGCTAGACGACCGCGCGCGGCCCCCTTTTTGCCCGCGCGCGGCCTCGTTTTTTGCCCGCTAGCAGCCTGCGCGCGGCCCGAATCGCGTGCGCGACGACCATAGGCCGCTCGCGCGGCTCGATCCGCCCACGAGCAGGTCGCTAGCCGCCCGTCGGCCCGCCCGTAGGGCTTCGCGTCGCCCGTAGGCCGCCGCCCCTGCTTTCGTAGCCGCTGCCTGCGCGCGAGTGCAGCCCACGCCCGACCGCTCGCCCCTAGGACGGCGCTCGTAACGCCGCCGCCCGCCCGCAGGTCGCAGCCCGCGCGCAGTGGCGATCGCGCGTCGGCTGCTGCAGCTCGCGCTTAGCTGCAGCTCGCGCTTAGCTGCAGCTCGTGCTTAGCTGCAGCAGGACCCCAGCCGCGGCCTGCACGCAACTGCAACCCTAGGCGCCGCCGCGCACCGTGCATAGGCCCGCCGTTGCGCTGCCCTACCTGCCCGAGCCGCGCCGCCCTGACTGAGCCTACTGTTTAGGGTTTAGGGTTTTGCAGCACCTACTGTCCCTGTTCCTGCTGTTACAGCTGTTCTTCTCACTACAGTTGTTCCTACTACTGCTCTTACTGCCGCTACTGCCACTATGGCTACACCCACAGTTCTCTCTTTCGATGCTGAGGGCCGTCCGCTCCAGTTTGATGCTTGGCTTGACGATCTCCACCTTTTCCTCCAGATCACCGCTAAGGATGACGTCTCGCTGTATGACCACGCGTCCGGAACCGCTCTCGCACCTGCTGACACTGCTGACAGTACAGCTCGCTCCCAGTGGCAGACTCGTGACGCCCACGCTCGCCTAGCCATTCGCAGCCACCTGCCGTTAGATGAGCGCGCGCACTTTGGCCAGCACAAGACTGCTAAGGAGCTGTACGATGCAGTAGTCGCCCGCTACTCCTCACCTGCCTCCGCTACGATAGGCCGTCTCTCTCTGCCCTATCTTTTCCCCGATCTCGCCGCCTTTCCCACAGTCGCTGACCTCATTACACACCTCCGCACCAGTGACACTCGCTTCCGAGCCGCCCTCCCTGCTGAGTTTCTCGCCAAGAACCCCCCACCGATGTACCTCGTTCTCTACCACCTAGTCACCCGTCTCCCTGACTCTCTTCGCGCAGTCAGGGACCACTTTCTCGCCCTCTGCCCTACCGAGCTCACCATTGACCTGCTCGAGAAGCATCTGCTTGCAGCTGAGGCTAGTATAGTTGCTGTAGGTGCCTCTCGTGGCGACCCCCGCACGCCCTTCTTCGACGGGTGTTCCCCTTCCCCCCTTCTCCCCTCGGTTGCCTCTGCTGCCGCTGTCGACTTCCTCGGTGCTGAGGACGTCGGGGCTGCGTCTGCTCCTAGCTGGAGGCGCAAGAGCGGCAAGGGCAAGGGGGGCAAGGGTGGCGGCGGTACCAGTGGGGGAGGTGGGGGTGGCGGTGGAGGTGGAGGCGGTGGGGGTGGTGGCGGTGGTGGGGGTGGTGGCGGGGCTGGGGGGGTCAGTGGCAGCGGCGGAGGTGGCAGCGGCGGGGGTGGCAGCGGCGGGGGTGGTGGCGGCAGTGGTGGTGGGGGAGGCCGGGGTGGAGGTGGTGGTGGTGGCGGCAGTGGGCGTGGTGGCGGCGGCTCGGGTGGTGGTCGGGGTGGACCAGCGCAGCGTGGAGGCTCGGGTGGTGCCCAGCGCCAGCAGCAGCGTCTTGGAGAGACCCCGTCGTCCCAGCAGCTTCGTGAGTGGTACTCTCAGCATGGGGGGTCTGGGGGTGGAGGCACCTGCACGTATGTCATCCGCACCGGTGACCGCGCTGGTCAGACGTGTGGGCGTTTCCACA